ATATATATATATATATATATATTTAATTAATCCTTTTAATCCACATTATACAGATTTAGTACATCGTTCTTTAAATACATTGATGATTAAGATAATTTAATAGAAAATTATCTACTAATTAATATACACATATCAAATGCTTGATGTAAAAGGAATCTTAGATAGTACAAAGATTAAAAAGAAAACGACGTCTCTTTTAAGATATCTTTTCAACATAGCGAAAAGATATCTAAAAATAACAAAAAGATATTATATTTAGGTTGTTTTTTCAAGATGAAAAGATGTCTATAAATTTAGTTTTGTCGACAAGACAATTTAAAAAAGACATTTTCATCATCTTTATATGATTGTTTTTTTTGGCAAAGCGAAAAATCGACAAAAAAATATCTTTTCGTATTATCGAAAAAACAACATAAAAAGATAATTTTCCGTTATTTTGATACTTTTCACTCATCCTTGAGCAGTATAGGAAATCGCCACCAGATGAACGTGGCGAAGTTTGACTTTGAAAATTCATAAATATATTTTTTCTGTATTTATTTGAAGATCGAGTTTTTTTTTTTTTTTTTTTATATATTGAGAGCATCTTTGGTATTAGACATTTATTATAGCAAGCCTTTTCATTTAAAATTTTGATGTTCTTCCAGTTGAAATCATGTTTAAGCTGCAATCTGTTTGGTTATTACAGAATACTGTACAGAGAATATATTTTCATTGATGACTCATTTATTATTATTAAATCACACTGACTATAATTACAATAATTGTGACGAGTATCATCGCAAATATGCGAAAAATAAATTCAAGAAAAATTCGATAAGTTATCCAGTGAAATGACGAATTTGCTTGCTATTTAATTTATAAGAAAAATAACACCGACTTTATTTTATTAGGACACTTACAACAATCCATTTCTCAGACGAACGAATGGGGCTGTATATAATTTATAAAAATTTCAATGAATAATTTTCAGAAAAACAAAAATTGCTCATAAATGATTAGAAGACTGATTGTTGTAAGAGTCCTAATAAAATAAAGTCAAATATTCGTAAAGAATGCAATAAAAATTTTTTTATTGCATTCTTTATGAATATTTGATGATGGCACGATCCAAAATGCCGAAACATGTAATATCATCCAAACTTTAGACTATTAATGACTTTTTTAATATATGTTGAAACTTTATTACAGACTGTTAACTTAATAAATGTTGTATTATTCACACACTAAAAAATTGACTCTTATATGCTCTCAAATTCTCATTGTAGAAATAAAGATTTGTTCTTTCATAATTAAGTAAATTTTGTAATATAATAATTTTTGAAAGAGAATTACATTATTACTTGGATTGAAATAGGAAAATCTTCAATGAGAATACAAAAGAAACATATCATATCACTTAGGTTTTACCGTATAAATAAATAATATAAATTAATAAAAATAATACCACTTGGATTTTATTTTTTAATTTGATGCAATATTTTTTTTGGAACGTGTATTCTTAACGTTTTTTTATCTTTTTTAAAAAGGCAAGTATATGTTACTGCACTATTGTGTGTGCAGAATACACTAAATTTTTTATACAGTCGATGTATATTATCTAATTTGAAATAATTTTTGTCACGTTAATATTTACGTAAACATAATGTCATTAAATCGTGAAACAAGTGGAAGAAGATGTAAAGAAGGTATAAAGAAGGTGAAATAGGTAAGAAAATATTAAAGCCCAGAGGAATGAGTATTTTGATCATCAGCTAATTAAAGAATAAATCAATAAATTTTAATTTTTTATCTTCTTTGACGCAACTCGTAGTGTTTTGGAATTACCCAAAATTATCTGCCGTGCTAAATGATATCGATCGAATAAATATATATATGTCAAACTCATTTGTTGTTTTTCTCATCGGCACGCTTTGATTATACGATTAAATTACCCATCGATAAGAGGTGCCGAGTCGAGCGCATCTCGTCCTTTGAAGGTGTTTACGCTCAGACCCACGGATAATCCGATCACAAGCAGAAGAACTGACAGGCAAACGGCGACGTTAATGTACACCATTTTCCCCGTACAATATTTATGAATGCCTGAAAAAAAAGACGAAATAGTTCGAGCGTCTAACAATAATAAAAGAAATTAAGAAGCAATAGTTAATACGTAATTAATATAAGTAAAATAGAAACATAAAAAATTTCGATCTTAATCATTATTTATATAAAAAAGCATAATGTAAAATGAAAATGAATAATATAGTCTTGGTCATAAATATAAAACATTCTCAATTTATTGCATTTTCATGGAAAAGACTGTAATAAAATGCAAATGGAAACTAACAAAATATTAAAGTTATTATAAAAATAAATTTTATTTTTTAATAAAACTGTTATTTAATTTATTTTTTTAGATACAAAACGTTTATGTTAATTTATAGATGTGCTTTATACTTTTGGCCAATGTATTTGCGGAAACAAAATGTGACAAGCCTTTCATTATCATATTAAGATCTGTGATATTTTTCGCTATCTGTATTTATTGATCTGAAATACTGAGGAAATGGAATTTTTCCAAACCTACACACACACACACACACACACACACACACACATACACACACACACACACACACACACACATTGATTCAATAATGGAGTGTTTATCTTTAGTCGTAATTCTTCATAGGGTATTCACTCGACGGGTGAATGATAAACACTCTTGATTCGTTTAGAGCACTTATGTTGGATAAGTGTTAGTTATTGACGCTATTGATAATACATGAGAAAGTACATGACATAGTCGCAGTTTAGAATACGACTATATAATATAACGTTTGATAATTGGTGATGTAACAATATAAATCCAAAAGGTATAATTTATGACAGATAATAATTTAGATAATATTAAAAATTTTTGGATATCATATATTAACTTTTTCAATAAATTACAAATGTGATAGAGCTTTTTAAAAAAATACTCTTTAAATCTCGTAGAGTAAAATTTCACTCGAAAATTTAGCCTGTCTTGCAAAAAGAGTGAAAATATATATAAATACGGCATCTCTTATTTAAAAGTGGCAAATTTTCATTCTTTTTAAAATGAGATTTAATCTTTTGAAATGAGAGATTCACTCTGAAAGAGTGAAATCTCAATTCCTTTTTTGAAGTATAATACCAAGGTAGATGGAACTTCATTCCTTAGGAGTGAATCTCATTCCAAATGAGTAAATCTCATTTTAAAAAGAATGAAAATCTGTCTTGAATAACAGTAGCCGTATTTTCATTCTTTCTTTAAGACAGGCTAAATTTTCAATATTTTCGAGTGAGATT